TTTCATTTTTTCGAAATTAACTTTGTACAGATAGTGCCGTACCGGCGCTGAAGATATAAATTCCAAAGTTGACCCGCACTTATAGTTTGGCCTGATGTTTCTTTAGATATACTCTTCGACAACCTTATATCGAAATGGAAGCCATAGGAACTGGAAGTTACAGGAAAATACATACTCGGTTAAGCATTAGCTTGGTTGAATTGATAAGGAACACGGGTAAGGACTGCAATCTGGGGAAGGTTTCAAATTTAATTAAGATAGGACAGGAGACAATTGCCAACCTCCAGTCTTCAAACATATAAAAAGTTAGATTCAGTAGCTGGCATTTACTCGGGTTTGGGGCATTTAAAGTGCCGTGTGCAGATTTTTATAGTAAAAGGTGTATGCATCATTTAAAAAAATTAGAAGCACAGGTTCGTACATCAAACTAAAGAATCGGCAACAAAAGTCAAGAATGGGAAGGAAAAGGCCGATAAAACAAACATTTAATAAAAAGGAATATAACAATACAATGGATATCCTTATTTCCAGAACGATGGCTAACTTCAGATTAATCCCTGGATTCTTTTGAGACAGAGTTGCTATCTGCCCCCAATGCACGTCTGTACACTGTTTGCGCGGAATTTTCCGTGTGGTGTACTTACGAACTCAATGACGTACTTTATAATTTGCGTTGTGACTTTGACGTTACTATGCATAAAGCCTGCAACAACCAGCGAAAATGATGTTAGCCTTTTAACTAACTTCTATGTTCCTTAGGTAATCGTGGAAAAGTTTCGTCAGCTGACCGAGCTCTCCGATAAATCCCCAATTTTGAAGTTAACGTACGACCAGTTCACGGAGCTCGTTCGCGGTGTTCCCCGGAATTACTCTGTATTTTCGATGTTGACTGCACTTTCCGACCAGCGGAAATGTCACAGTTGTCAGTATGTTTTTGCGCTTATATTCAATGATTAGGGCTGCCAATGATGAATTTAATACTCTCGCAAGGTCTTGGCAGAAATT